TCTATGCCTATTTTGTTAAGCGTTCTTATCATAAAAGGGTGTTGAATTTTGTCAAATGCTCTTTCTGCGTCTATTGAGAGAATCATTTGGTTTTTGTTTTTGCTTCTGTTTATGTGGTGAATTACGTTTGTAGATTCAGTTTGTATTTTAGAGTGAAATACACGATGCTCAAGAATGAATTACTTCCTGAATGAATTACTAATCCGTGTTGGCTTATTGCCTGTCCTAGGTGACTACTTGCACTTTATGTTCAGTGTTCTCAAAAATGTCCCTGTATTCTCCATTTCTAGGCAGCTGTTACATCCCATGTAAAAAGCAGAAAATAAAATGAAGATTTTTCAGTGCAAGATGCGGTACTGGCTGCTTCCCGCTCTTTTGGCTGTTGCATATTTCTGCACCATCGTCCAGGGTCAAGGTAATCAAAAACTTTAAGAGAATCAGGAGGGTCTGGGAGTCTAGACATCTTGGTTCTGATTATCGTTTTTATTTTATTTATCCTAATAGTGCTCCATTGGCTCAACTGTGTTTCTAGGCAGGGCAATGTGTTGGTTTTTGCTGAGTTTTAGCAACTGTTTGCACTGTAGAAATGTATCATAACTTTGATGAGGGTTACGACCTCACCAGTGACTGAGCATAGTAATTTTGTGGCAGTTGGTTAAATAGCTCATTCTTGAAGTGCTTCTGAAAAGGCTGTGAAAGTTTAATCAGTGAAAGTCAAATTTTCATGTTACGAGCTCAGTCCTATTAATAAATCTCTGGTAATTATAGAGATTTATTAATTTATTATAATTATAATGTGTGTGTGTGTATGTGTGTGTGTGTGTGTGTGTGTATCCTAATCATGCCTTGTTTCTGACATAGAGTGTCTACAAGATATTTCTAGTACTTCATACCTGGTTTAGTTTTTCTCCTTACATTAAATACTGAGCATATAGCCTAAAGGCTATTAAGGATCTGACAGAGGCTGCCGATAAGCCATTTTAAGCATTTCTAATGATTGCTAGCTTTATTTTAATTAGACTTAATTTTTGATATCTGCTTTTTATATTACTGGGATCTGCACTTTTATTTTTCATTTCCACTCTTTTTTATAAAATAAGTCTGGGGTTGACAAACTACCATGTGTGGACCCAATCTGGCCCACTGCCTGTCTTTATAAATAAAGTTTTATGGGAAGACAACCATGCACATTTACTTATATATTATCTGTGGCTGCTTTCATGTTACAATGGCAGAGTTAAATAGACATGACAGAGACTGTTTATCCTGTAAAGCTGAAGATATTATCTGGCCTTTGCAGAAAAAAATGTGTCTACCCCTGAAGTAAGTACAAACAAGCACCAAGTGACATTGCTAGACAAATATGGTAACTGCAGAGGTTAAAGTGTTGGTGATGAAATGTCAGGCATCAGCTGAGTAAGAAAGTGTAAATGTCATAAAACGGTTTTAGGAATGTTAATGTCTAATGTTTGGCATTGATTGTTGTTGAAAAGATAAATGCATGAACCACAAAAACCTGCTTCCTTAAAGTGAGGCACAACTGTTTGGAAAGGAATGGAACTTGTCTCTTTGCATGTTCGAATAGCTGTTATACACCTGAGGTTAATGACCATATTTCCAACTACTTCACTGGACACATAGTGGACAGTTTGGTAGACAAATTCTGCTTGTCTTATTTACGTTGATGAAAGAATGCTTTTAGCTGTGACAATTGGAGAAGTGATAACAGGAATCCTAGATAATCCATCTGCTAAACCTCAGGATACAAAATACAGGTTCGTAGAAGCAAAAGGTAGGCCAATCACTAAGCCCTTCATAGGCCATCTCAGTTTAGTGTAACTCAGAAATGGTTATTCATGGAATAACTGATCATATACAGCTCCTCTGGGATACTTTCAAGGATGTTGTCTACCAGATGTACATTGTTAGCCAAATTCTGTTTCAAATAAACACTTACGGGGCAAATTCTGTGCATCAAGTTCAAGATTCAGAGCTGAATAAAATTCTTTTTATCTTCCTTCAAGTAGCTTACTGTCCACAAGGGAGACAGAAGTATAAGCAGATAGATCATAATATAGGTTATGTGGGGTTTGCGGCAAAAGACAAAGATGGAAAGAGAGATTGAAGCTGATTATGGAAGATTTTAAACAGCTCTGTGTTTTAGAAAAACACTCTGACAGTGATATTGATGATACTCATATTTGTGATCCATAGGGCCTTGAGGGATAAGAATAAGTTAGGTATGAGAGACTGTTAAAAGATATTAAATTGTCAATGAAATAGGTGTTGAAGGTCTGAAGTAGGCAATGTGACTAGAGAGAAGAGAATGAATGAATCCAAGAATCATTTAAGAGGTAGAAGAGTTAGAACGTGTTTGCTAATTAAATGTGGAAACAGATGGAAGAGAGGGAGACACTGCAGACAACTCTGAAGCTTTGTGCTAGAGACCTGAGTGAATGGGGCCTTTACCTTCAACCCCTGTGCCATTACTGCTTTTATATCTTTGCATCTTAATTGTCTGTTTACCTTACCTCACTAAAGGTAGTGGTTCTCTCTTTAGTGTCTGTGTCTCCAGTACAGAATAATGCTTCAGTCATAGTAGACATTTGTTGAAGAGATTAACAGATAAAGCAAGTATTTGAAGTGGAAGATAATGAGTTCAGTCTAAGGCAGATATATGAAGTTTAAGGTGTTTGTGGGACATGCAGCTGGAGGCGTCTGGTAGGCAGCTGGTGGTCTGGAGTTCAGGGGGAAAAGATCAGGGCAGAAGATTATATTTGAATTGTATTTTACTTGGGAATTAGTTTATAGGGACATTTGAAGCCTTCAAGGTAGAATTAGAAAGGGATATCTTAATAGAAGGAAGTGAGGATGGGCCTAGTTCAGTGGTTTATGCCTATAATCTCAGCAATCTGGGAGGCCAAGGCAGAAGGATTGCTTAAAGCCAGGAGTTTGAGACCAGCCCTGGTCAACATAGCGAGACCCCATCTCTAAAAAATGTTAAAAAATTAACCAGGTGTGGTGGTGCATGGCTGTAGTTCTAGCTACTCGGGAGGCTGAGGCAGGAGAATCGCTTGAACCCAAGAATTCAGGGCAGCAGGGACCTGTAACTGAGCCTCTGCACTTCAGCTTAGGTGATGACAGTGAGACCTTGTCTTGCTAAAAAAAAAAAAAAAAAGTGAGGATGAAGTCTGTAGAACATCAACAGTTAAGAGAGTTTAGTAGAAGAAAAATGACTGATTGAAAGAATCAAAAAAAAAAAATCAATTACAAGGAGAGTCAGGAGAATGTAGTGGCCTAGAAGTGAAGGCTGGAGAAATTTTCAAGAAGGAACACGGTGGGTACATACTGGAGGAAATCCCAGTAAGAAAAGGTTTTAGATGTCACTGGCTTTGGTGATTAGGAAAATATGTGAGACCTTTGAGAAACCTCATCTTATTTCTACCATGACACTGCTTATTTACATGATTGATTTTGAACAAGGAATAAAGAATATGAATTGCTTTATTGGATTGATTTTCTGCTTTGAAAGCAAATTTAGTAGTGAGTTCCTGTGGCTTGGCCAAGTTTGATATTAATTTGCAAAGCCACATAGACATCTTTAGAGTCATATTTATGAAAAAGTAGCAACAAATGTCAAGTGTGATAATAGGAATAATGAGCCTGCAAAGATGTTTACATCCTAATTGTTAGAACCTGTGAATATATTATATGGCAAGGGGGAATTCAGACATCAGATTGAATTAAGGTTCATAGTCAGTTGACCTTAAAATAGGGAGATTACCCTGGATTATTTGGGTGGGCCCGGTGTAATGGCAAAGGGCTTTAATATGGAAGAGGGAGGCAGAGGGGCCATTGTCAGTGATTCCACATGAGAAAGACGACTGGCCACTGCTGGCTTTGAAGATGGAAGGTGGCCACAAGTCAAGGAATGTGGAAAACTTCTAGAAGCTAAAAAAGGCAAGAAAGTGGATTCTCTCTTAGAGCCTCCAAAAAGGAATGCAACCCTTCCAACACCTTGATTTTAGTCCAGTGAGACCTATTTCAAACTTCTGACCCCCCAAACTGTAAGATAAACAATGTCTTGGTTCAATCCACTAAGACTGTGCAATTTGTCACAGCAGCAACAGGGAACTAACACAATTAATATTAAAAGGCATGCAGGAAATAAATCCCCCCTCCTTAACTCACTAATCAACAAAATGTGCTTTACCATTTAGTCTCTCCATGTAATATTTTATGAAAAATTTGCCCTCTCCAAGAACTGTTGACCCACATTGGCTCAAGTAATTGTTTACACCCGGATTATTCTAGAATCTTTTCAAGAAAAGTTGAATGACCTGAAATACAGAAAAAGTAATGTGTTGGTTGTAGGAAAAGCATGCGTACGGCAGTGACAGAATGATGGCATCAGTACTTTCTTAGAATTTCACAGTAAATATGTACTCAGCTCTAGCAGTGTTTGTTTTGGGTGGCTGTAAGAAGGAACCACTGCAGGTAAAGTAACTGTCATTTAAAAACCTCAAGGCATATAAAATTGAAGACTTTGCATGGAGGCTAGATTTAACTTTATAAAGGCCTCTGTGTTAACACATTTATACATATGTTTTGCTAATAGTAATCAAACATATTTGTAAGTTGAGAATATGTTCCTTACTGCTGTTTTTAGGATCTTTATAATGGACCATGAAATTATAACATATTAGGTTCTGAACACAATAAAAAGAACCCTCTAGCATATCCCACAGTATACGTCTCCCCACATTTAATTGCTCCTGTTTATAAAACATTTGGGCTATGCATTTAATGGAAAAAATGAGATAAAAAGTTAAGGTTTTAGACAAATTTTTTTTTAATTTTTAATTTTTTTTATTTCAGCATATTATGGGGGTACAAGTGTTTAGGTTACATATATTGCCTTTGCCCTGCCTGACTGAGAGCTTCAAGTGTGTCCATCCCCCAGACAGTGCTCACTGCACCCATTAGGTGTGAATACACCCATCCCTCCCACCCCGCTTTGGTTTGTTTTTTTAAAATCACTTGGAAAAACAGCCAGATACTTCTCTGCTGTTTAAAGGTCTTAAAAAAAAATAAATTTAATTGGTTGTCCTATCAACTTCTCACCCTAAACTATATTTTAAAGAGGAAAACATTCTCAGTGTGACCTGCACTGCTTCATCTCTACAGTTAGAGATTTTTGGTTGTTAATAAAAGAAACTTTCTCCAGCCAACTTAAGCAAAAATGTATTACTAGTAGGTAATGCTGTAGCTCATATAATCAAAGTAAAAGTTAAATTATCAAGCTTTGAAAAGGGTAGGAATCTGGGAACCCCCTGGGATACAGTTTGTAGGAACTAATGACCATTTTCTTTAGGGCATGCCATTGGAATGACTGGAGCGATTTTCCATCCTTCCATCACTGGAGTCAAGTTCAGATTCTTGGACGAGTCAGCTTGACCTGGTTTGGGTCATTTTCCCACCCCTTGGCCAGGAGAGGATGGCTGATGGATAGTGCAGCCAAGGCCCTATGCAGGGGGGAAGGCGTGTTGTTTCTTGGAAGAAAACCAGGGTGCTGTCAAATAAGGCAGAGGGGATGTGATTGTGGATGGTGAGGAACACAAGATGTCCATTGCAGCATCCCTGTGTAAAAAGTAGCCTTTTAAGAAATTAATGAGAATATTTTATTGACATAAATCTTTGTACAGGCTGTCACTTGTCAAAACAGCAAGATTTCAAATTGAGTTGAGAAGAAATAAAGGAAAGAAGGAAGGGAGAAAGGAAGAAAAGGAGACAGCAGAAAGTTAGTCCTTTAATAAGTAGTATGAAATACAATTGCCTAAATGCTTGGTAACAGTGAGGCTTCAGTGGAATGACATAAAAATTTCTCTCCTGCCTACGAGCTTCTATAGGAATGATTGCAGTGAAATTCTTTGGGTTTAAAGAAAATATTCCCTCTCAAACAAAGCACAATATGACACAGCAAAACAAAAATACCCCTATACTTTCAGTAAGAGCCTAACCTTGCAGTGGAGCAGAAAACGATGAGTGGATGCTCCTCAGTCTTCCTCCTCAATCCCCCTTTAGGATGAAGTTCATACATTCACCAGTGTTGTACTGGGCCTAATTCCACACTGCAAGCCTGATTTCACCAAGCAAAGAAGGGGTTGGTTGGCTTCTTTTGGGTTCTTGGTGTGTGCTCGAAATCAAATTTTACACTTGACATGTGTCTTTTTGAAAAGGTTAGGATTTGAACTGACACAAGTTAACTTTTGAGTCAAGTTCATGCGAGCGTTCATAATTATTACTGGAAGTTAAGTATATGTATAGAAAGCACTTCCTTCGTGCTTGCAAAAAGAAAAATCATGGGTCTAGTATTAAATATACACAAATTTTTGTTCCATGAGATAAGAGCAATTATTTCTCCACTGCACTTACAGTGTTTCTGTCAATCTTGCAGCCCTTGCTCTGGGCTCAAGTCCCAATGCCCTCCAGAAGGGGAAAAGAGCTAACTTTGAGCTGTGACCTCATGCCTCTTTCTTTTTTAACTAGCATTTCTTCTTTTCAATGTTTTTCCTCTAAGGGCAAAAACCTAAAGGAAATATGAACTTTGTGTCTAACAAAGATTTTCTTTTTATGAGTGTGAGAATATTTATACTTATATAGGCAATAGGTGTGGTCTGTTGATAAAAGGTAATAGTGGTATTGCTTTTCGCTAGCAGTTGTAATGGGACTGTAGCCATGTGAATGGTTTGTAAATTAATAAAAGAATTGAGTATTACTGGATTTGAGTGTTGCGTTTGCTTCACACTTTGTTTCCTTGAGCCAATGTCACTTGGGGTTCCACTATCTGAATTATTTGAGCATGGTCTATGTTACCCTCATTATTTTCTGCTGGAGGTTTAGAAGATTATCTGTTGATCAAAGAGATGTTGAGGGCTAGAAATTCAGACAACATTTAAAGCTGTGGGTCCCCAACCCCCAGCTATGGCCTAGTACCTGTCCGTGGCCTGTTAGGAACTAGGCCACACACCACATCACTGCCTGAAGCTCCCCTCCCCTGCATCCCTCCCTGGAAAAATTGTCTTCCATGAGACTTAGGAATGCGACCACACAGCAAGAGGTGAGTGGCCAGGGAAGCTTCATCTGTATTTACAGCTCCCTGTCGCTTGCATCTCCGCCTGAGTTCCGCCCCCCTGGTCCCCCCACCCCCACCATGGAAAAATTGTCTTCCATGGAATCGGTCCCTGGGTCACTGGTGCCAAAAAGGCTGGGGACTGCTGATTTTTTTTGAGACATAGTCTCACTCTATCACTCCAGCTAGAGTGCAGTGGCATCATTGTAGCTCATTGCAACCTCAAACTCCTGGGCCCAAGTGGCCCTCCTGCCTCAGCCTCCCCAGTATCTGGGACTACAGGCATGTGCCATGAAGCCTTGCTAATTTTTCTATTTTTAGTGGACACGGGGGGTCTTATTCTTGCTTAGGCTGGTCTCGAACTCCTGAGCTCAAGCAATGCTCCTGCCTCAGCCTCCCAGAGTGCTAGGATTACAGACGTGAGCCACTGTGCTCGGCCAGGACTGCTGATTGAAAGAACAGCATGAATAGAAAATACTCTAAAGATTTCTAATCTTTAACCTAGCAATCCTGAATGTTAACTTCTTTGCTCTCCTTGAGATGTCAACACACCTGGAGTGCTAACAGAATTTGTTGACCCGCTTGGAACTGCCTGAGTGGAAGCCTCCATCCTACTTGTCCTTTCCCACTTGCTGTTTCCCAGGCATGCCAGCTTTCTTTCACCAGTGTGTTCATGCGAAAGCTTGGTCAATGATATCTACCGGCCCATGGATTTGATTTGGCTCAGCAACTTGGATACACTGTTTAAAATTTTTTAATTCTTATTTTAAATTGTCTTCCATAAGTAATAAGAACCTATCTATAAACTGATTTTTTTCCCCTAACTTGAACACTATGCAAAAATAGTAACAGTTTCTGTTAGGTTTAGGCACATTCCTCTTCCATTTGAAAATAGTTGTTCATATGATAAACTCATACTTTCCTTTTAACCAAAGAAATGTAAACTCTTTCTTCCATTCATGTCAAATTGAGAACAAGAAGCTAATGTTTTTGTTCTGCATGGCTGGCATTCTCTACTTAGAGGTAGGAAAGGACAACTAGAAAGAAGATCTACTCTTCGGATTGTGTCTTTGAATGCTTACTGATTTCGATGAGTGGAGGGTTTGCACAGTAGTAAATTCTTCATTCTTCTAGCTAAGTGAAGGGTGACTTCTTAATAAGGATCATCTTCCAAAGAAACAGTGCATTTCATCTGGGGTCAGAGATTGTTCTTCCCAGTGTGTAAACTTCGGCAAGTCTCTTAGCTGTGCCTCAGTTCCTTTATTTATAAAATTGGGATAGTAATGTATTTTTGTGAGGATTAAATGAGATTTTGAGCTCAACCATTAGATGAAGTAAGGCAGAAGGAGAACAAATATTTGTTGACGATCTATTATAATGCAGTGTATTCATTATATACATTGTCTGATTTAAAGTTGTCATCTCTCCTTTTCAGAAAGTATTGCTGTCACCTTTTCTAAAAATAAGGAAACTGAGGTTTTGGAAGAAACAATCTCTTGCTCAAGGTCATTTAGCTAGTAAGTGGCAGAACTGGGAATAAAGTAATGTCCAAACGCTTTATTATGTCCTGTATAGATTTAGAAGGATATTTGTTTCTCTCCCCTTTATACTCTATACTCTTTCCTAAAATGAGAAAGGAGGTTGGACATAAAAGTTGGGTTGGGCATAAGTGATAACTTTTCTGTTAAGTATTAACATTTCTTTGTTAACAAATTAGTTTAGGTATTATATAATAAAAACTTTCTTACTTTTTTGAAATTCTGGAACATTTACATAGGATGCCAAAAATGTGTTTTGAAGTTTGAATGACTGGCACAAAAAGTAATACAGATCTACTCATTTTTGTAAACTGTCAGAAAAGATTAAATCTTCTGGGTTGATTTATGACTACGTGCTTTGTATCTTTCTGACAGGTACATAAATCAGCTGCACTTGAAGAGTGGATCCAAGTTTACAAAACATAATTATCTTTCATTTGATCCTGAATGCCTTTATAATCTCTTTCTCAAATGTTTTTAAATGAATATCTTATTACCATAACATGTCTGTAACAGCCTTCTCAAATTATCATATTATCAAACACACTGGATTACCAAGAAACCTAAAGGCATACAACAGGTCCCAGTAGATTATAAAAGCTCACATGTTCCAAGTAGAAAAAAATCCTTATAACATAATGAAAGTATTTTAGAAGATTGGCTTCAATTACTATACTAGGCTAGAGTATTAAATTCTAATAGCCTTAGTTCTTTGACATCAGATCAGTGCTATTTGACAAGTGGGTGTCCATTGGGTAAGAAACAAATGCTCTTAATGGGGTTGTAGAAAGAACATGATTCGAGGATGATGAAGTCTTTGTATTTTGATTATGTTACTTTGACTTTTCAACTAATCTAGTGGAAATGTAAATGTTTCAATGTTTAAACAGCTTTTGTTTTTCCTTTTTAGTGGCTCCACCTACAAGGTTAAGATATAATGTATTATCTCATGACAGTATACAGATTTCATGGAAAGCGCCAAGAGGGAAATTTGGTGGATACAAACTTCTTGTGACTCCAGCTTCAGGTAAAAACAATGGACTGTTTTCTAGATCATTAGCAATTTTTTATAGATAGGTAACTAAAAACACTTTGTGCCAAGCATTGCTTTAGGATCATTGGAAAGCTTTTGGTTTTATTTAATCATTTGAGCTTAAAATATTACCCTCCAATTAAGGACATAACGTTCCCCAAAGTGTAAAAAGTGGCTCTTGCACTCACTGTAATTCTCTTAATTTGCAGACAATCAAAAAGTTTTACATCCTTTGTTTAGACATAGAATGAATATTTTTGGTTCATTGATGCTTAAAAAAAAATGTAGTACACTTGGGTGTCCAATACTTGTGACTGGTTGAATAAATTATGATTAATTAACTTGAAAGAATATTATTCAGCAAATATACATTAAAGTTTTAAAGGCTAAGTAGATATTGTGAAAATAAGTGACAAAGTAGAAAAAGCATAAGTTGAACAAATTTATCGATCATGAATAGTTATGTAAAAATGTTTTAAATTAAATTTTGGTTGAATTTTTATTTCTCATATTTTGTTTTTATTATATAAATATAATAAGCTAAAAACAATACAGAGAGTGTAGGGGAATTGTCACGGCTACATGGCGTCATGAGGACAAAGATGGGATCAACAACTGGATTGCTTGAATTCAAAATCTAGTTCTGTTGTCACAGAAAGTGGTTCCCAACGCTGGAATTACTTGAAGTGCAAGTGGATTCTTGGCTTCACACAAGAAAAGAATTCAGGAGCAAGCTGACAGTATAAAGTGACATTGAGTTTTATTCAAGAAGTATAGAAAATCTACTCCACAGAGTAGAGGATAGTTCTCCCTGTGGAGGAGAACCAGCTCCGTGGTTCTTTTAGCTTCTCTATTTAAGCAATGGCTTAATTATAGGCTAAACAAGGGGAGGAATATACTTATGTTATTTCTTCGAACGGGGCAGTGTTTTCCAGGAATGAGAGCGACACCCTCCTTTTGACCAAATATGGTCAAACAGGAAGTGTCATGGCTCAGGTGCATGATGGGAGTGGGAGGTTTCCTTAGAAACTTTTATGGTAATTTTATGGTAATGATGGTATAATGAAGCTGCACAGTCAAGAGGCAGTGGATTTCTCTGCCATCTTGGTTCTAACCCTTTGGAACTTGTCCTGCCTCCATCTTGTCTTGATCAGCGCTCTAAACCTTGTTTCAAGACTTCCTGACTCAATTAAGCACTGCCTGCACAATTAAGCAATTCCTGAAGCAATGCCTAAAGCAATGCCTGAAGCAGTGCCTGCCCTTTCCCTGTCTCATTGTCACTTATAAGTAGCGTGATTCAGGCAAGTTATTTAATCTCTCAGTGCCACAGTTTCTTCATCTGTAAAATGCTCAAACAATATTAGTATTCACCTAATGGAGTTTTTATGATCTTGCAATTCAAGGTTGATCTGGGACCAGCAGCACAGGCATTACTTGAGAGCTTGTTAGAAATGCAGAGTATTGGTCTCCACCATCGACCTCCTGAGTCAGCATCTGAATTTTAAAAAGATTCCCAGTTGATTCCTGTGCACATTAATTTGGGAAGCACCAGTTGTGAGGACTAAAATAAACATAAAGCACTTAGAATAGTGACTGCCATGTAGTAAGTGCTCAGTAAATGTTACCTATGATTGTTATAAAGATGCACTCAGCTATCATTTCCTCTCCAAGGATTCATTTTCACATAGTACATAACAAGCACATAATACTTGCATATTAGTACAATATATATTTATGTAAATATAGGTTTTTTTTCTCTTTATTAGTGATAAAGAGGGTTATAGGAACCTGAACTCATTTCTGTTGGTGACCTTTTCCCAGCTGATTTAATGAGGGAGACAGATGCTCTGTTGTTGATAAATGTGGACATCTTACATAGTTGATTTAAAATTTCAAACACTACAAACAGATGAAACACCCAGCTTCTTGCTTGGTGACTAAAAAGGACACTTCTTTTATTAAGAAATAGTGCTCATCAGCTCATTAGAATTACTTCTGATTGAGCTATACCATATGCCAATTTTCCCCTTGTTGGCCTACAGAAGCGACTCCCTTGTGGAGACTAGTATTAAATACAAGTTACTATTAATAATTTGTGGTACCTCTGAGAATCCCCCATGTTTGATCTTGAAAAGTAATTATTTTTCTCCAGGTAATCAGTTGTTGAACTTTTCCTGATTAATTACTGTTAATACCAAACTATTAATTACCCCAAGCAGGTGTTATTGAGGAATCATAGAATGTTGGAATTGACTTGAGTGGCCTCTGAACCAAACCTCAACCTGATTCTTCAGTCTCCTCTGCAAGAGTTCACCCAAAAAATAGATGTTCAGCTCTTGCTTAAATATCTCCTGTGACAAAGTAAAAATTGAAGATAAAAGCAAATTATTTCTTGAGGAATAGTAGGTTTATTTTACCCAACATCCTTACTGCATTGGCCCAAGCCAATCAAACAATCTTGACACTCTGGAATCTACTTGATTAAACATAGTAAATAAAAGGAATAATAAACACATCTAGCCACAAAATGTTTAGAGATGTTTTAGCACTATGAGACATGGTCCAAATATTGTTTATGCTAGTCGTTCTCAAAGCTTATTCCATGGTATTCTTTGGGATGCTAATAACTATTGTGCAACCAAATGGTTTAATGGTCAAATAAATTTGGGAAATGCTGGTTTGAACAGAGTTTAAAGCTATTTTGTTGCAGGATTGTTAAATCCTTTAATAAAATAACACGCTCTTAGACTCTCAAAGAGGGACTCTAATATACGGAGTTTTGGGGGGAACTTTTTTTTTAGTGAAATATGCATTATGAAAGTTTGATTTGATTCACTTTGTAGTAGATGAGTTTTAAATGATTGAAGAAATTTATGACACCAAATTAAAAATCTTGGACACAAATGCTTTTAAGGAAATGCATTTTGGCAAGAGAAAGACTCAGTTTTGCCCTCTGGTAGCAGGCAGCATGGATAATGTCAGCACTAAATTTCAGACTTAACAAAATTAATTTTATTAGAATATGATTAAAAGATATTAAAATCTGTTATGTTTGATTAATTCAGCAAATGTAAGACCTCTCTCATTGTAACTGTTAGAGAGAGTTGTACATTTATTTCTCTTTTCTCAGGCACAGTAATTGCTGCCAGAAATTAGAGAGGAAAGGTAAAATTTAGAATTTTGCATAAATGTTGAATATTTAATCAACAGTATTTTCAGGAAAGCCTTAGACATCAGTCTAATTTGATGGAGAGGTAATGGGATTGTGAATCTTTTGATGAACCAAGTAACTTTTAAGTAGCCAGGGGATGAGTGGTTCCTTCAGCATCCTGAGCTAGCAGTGTCAGATTTAAGATAATTAAATTGCTCTTGTTTCAAGGATGCTTTGACTCACTTTAGAGAGGCCATAGAAAAAATTCGCACGTGGGTAATTATATTTGGCCTGCCCATACCTCTCCCTTCACTTTTAAGTGGAGTTCTTTCCTTGAAGAGTACATCAATGTTGAGGACTTGCTGTCTTCTGATCTTGTACTATGGCTTTTCCTAGCATATAAAAGCAATAGTATGTTATGATGAAAAAATTGTTTAAGTTATCTAATGTAAAAAGAGTGCAACTAAAAATGAGAATGAAAACTATGTCACTAATATGTGCTATATACATATATGTATACATGTAACTTTATATCTTAGAACTAATTTATCTTTCTGTTTTATTATAGGTGGAAAAACTAATCAGTTGAATCTCCAGAACACTGCAACTAAAGCAATTATTCAAGGTCTTATGCCAGACCAGAATTACACAGTTCAAATTATTGCATACCATAAAGACAAAGAAAGCAAGCCGGCTCAAGGCCAATTCAGAAGTATGTATTTAAAGGTCTTAAAGTACCACTATGGGACTCTGTCCGAGCACTGGATTTGAGTCTGTGATATGTATTCTAAGGGGTTAAAATACTAGATATTTTAGATTTGTAGAGATCTTAAAAGACCTTCAGTTCAACCTTCTGTGAATTCCTCCTGTCTCTAATACTTTCCTGCCCTTCCCTTTCCCGACTTTTCTGAATTCCTACTTAAACTCTCTGTTTTAGTTTTCAAATGCCTTCCCTGACATTGTCCCCTACACCTTACCCAGGCATCTCCTATATGATTTCTTAGCTTCCAGAGCTTCCCCTATGGTTGTACAGTCACACCATATTGTAATTGCTTATTTACTTCTCTGTGTCCCCCATAAGCCTATGAAGTCTTTGAAGACAATGACTCAAATTTTTTTTATTTCTCATTTTACTGAAGCTGCATATTATATGCCTGATACTTGTTAATAACAGGTGCTCCACTAACGTGAATGACTGAATGAATGATGCTTTCATCTCCTCTAGGATCCCCAGACAGTGCCAATACAGCCTCTACGAAAACAACCTAAACAACAGGGAATTTAACTCTTTCCAATAATTAGGGGCCTGTTTTTTAAGGGCCTGTTCTATGCCAGTCTCCACAACAAGCAAATCTGTAAACAGATACAATGTGATAAGTGTTAGAGAGAGACACACATAGCATTCTGTGACAAGAGGTGTTCTCTCTGCCCCAGTGATGGGCTGGGAAAGGGTGGATGTGGGAAGGCCTCATGTTAGAGCCAGTTCTCAAAAATTACTGGTCCAACAGAAAGTATAGGGCATGCAGAGGACATTTTAAGCAGGAAAGAAAGCCCTGAGGCAACCCAATGTATGTTCCCACAGTTCCATTACGAAGTTTTTCCTTATATTGAGTTTAAAAGTTGTCCACACTAGCTTTGATTCTTCTGTCTCTCGGGAGACATTCATTCATCCATTCTTTTTCTTTTTCATTTAAATGCCAGGTCCTGTTCTAGGCACTGGGCACATGAAAAATCTCTGCCTCAACGAACCTTATATTCCAATGACCAGAGACTATAGCAACTCCCTCTTCCTAAAAGTGGGCTTTCAAACAGGAAGGACAAATTTTTTTGTATTGTGAATGAAAATGGAAGAGGCCAACCCTGGTTAATTTTCTGTTACTTCATTGCTTAAATAGACTCTTTTTTTAAAAAAAAAAAAACCAAAACCCCAACTTACTATTAAAAACAATTTAAATCATAATTTAAAAAGTCAACAGAAGAGTATAATGAACGCCTAAGTAGCCATCAGCTGGCTTCAGCAATTACCTATTCATGGCCAGTCTTGTTTTATCTATACTCCCACATCTCCCTTTTCTTATTATTTTTGAAGAAAATTATAGATATCATTTCAAATAGTTTTTTTTCTCATTTTAAACAATAGCTTTGAAAATCCTACCATAGGGTTAATCCACAAATCTGTGAGGCTGTGAGTTCTGGAACTCTGTGTGTAGCAATGTTCTATCTAGATTTTCTACAACCCCTCCCTCCCTCTTTCTTTCCTTCCTCTTCTGAGTAATGTTTTGTGAGACATATTTTATGCCTTTAAAAAAAATTAAAACAAGACAAAACTTTGTTAACCTGCTACCTCTTGAAACTTCTGAACAATGATATTCAGTAAATCCACCTGTCAGCATGACAAGTGGGTGTTGTAAATGTTACATTCTTTAGAGATTCACGTTGTCCAGAAGCTCTGGAAAAGGTTTTCATGTTATTTTTAGTATAAATCAGCCTTCTGTCTCATTTTATTGGTACTTCACTTTAGTTTCTGGCCTCTGACATTCCTACATGAGGTATGAAATCACTTCACTTAAAGTTTGTGAGAAACAGTGAAAGGGATAAGGAGAAACGATTCATTTTCCTGTAGTCTGAAGGTTTTGCAGTTAATTATTGAAAATATTCCACCAACTGAGCAGCAGAAGAAATACAGAGAGGCTTCAAAAGCTTTCCCAGTAGCTACTTTTTCAAAGCACTTAGAAGGAAATTCATTTATTTTCAGCTTGCTTAGCTCTGTTAAGATGATTGTAGTGAAATAGTCTAAGTGGTTAGCTAGATAAATGATATGTAAGTATATACATTTTCAGCTATGTTATTTTTGTTGGCAGGATAGAGGGATTAGTTCTACCCAAGTCACAGTTTGTAAGAATGAAGTTAAAATTGTTTGGATAACTTCCTTTTCCCTTTTGCGTTTCAGTTACGTTCTTGCTCTCTATGAGATAGACCTAAAGTCTGGTCTCCCCTGCCTAGAAAACTTTCATGGTTGGATCCAGGAAAATGGTGGTCAAGAGAAAGCCTTGTGGATATCAGTTTGCATTCAGTGCAGGGATTTGGATTCTTTATGAGTCCGTATTTTGATACACAGGGAAGCATCCGAAACAATCTTTGTGTTTTAAAGACAGAAAAGCATGTCTGATCTGCTGGATATTAACATACCAAATCTGCCACAAGCAGCTCAACCACTTCTAGCCTCAGTTTCCTCATCTGGGGGTAGGGGTGATGACATGTGCCTATTATTGTGCAGGTTAACTTACTTCAACACATAGTGGAGCGTGGTAGCCATTGTTGTTGTGAGTAATACCACCCTGCTCATTGACAGTCTGTTTTCTAATGGATTTTGCCCCTACGTGGAGGAAACAACAGATTAGTGTAACATGTTTGTTGTACCTTATATGTGACCTAGTGGCCCAGCTTCCAAAATGACTGCTGTTTTATTTTTGTTTGTTTGTTTATTGGTAGACTGGTGGTATGGCCCCATGTTTTTATTTACAATCTTTAATGTAAAGAACACCTCTTCAATAATTAGGACAGACACAAGATGGAAATAAAGAGTTTATTACTTATATGTCTTGAGGGTTACACAGCATGTCTGGAGGCCACACACACAGAGATCAGGGAGCACAGGGAGGGTGGAGGACCCGTGGGTCAAAGCCTTTATTGGCTTTAGGGTGTTATCCAAACAGGTTTCCCATGAGGAGTTTTAATTGGTGGGTTTAAAGCAAGCAGGCACGAATTCCAGGAGGTCACACTGTGACTGAGAGGTGGTCCCTGTGGCATATTTGCACAGTCCCTGCAGGTGTGAGGGTCAGTGGGGCCAGTCAAATTGGCCATATGTAGCTGTCAAACAGGGTGGTGGTCCTCAGGGAGCAGCTTTAAAAGGGAGCTATCTGGATTGACCACAGTGAGAATACTGGCGTGGGGGTGGGTGTAGAACTAGAAACTGTGTCAAGGATGACTGAGCCCTGCTTCTGGTATGAGAAAGTCCAACTTATATTTAAAATGGATGTTGAGGCAACATGAAATTAAAAGAATTTTTTACACTCTATCTTGGCAAACATTCTTTTTAGCCACCATTTTTCCTCTTCAGAATGCCTGCAAAATCCTGCCTGTTTTTCAAAGTCTGGCTCAAAGGTAATCTTTCCCATGAAGTTTCCCTAGAAAAGGACTTTAGAAAAAAGAATCTTAGATCTGTTTCTATCTCTGCCATTGCTCACCATAATCTTTCTCATATTAAAGTTGCAGATTTGTTTTCTTTTAGAAAATGAAGGCAATTTGGGGCCATAGCCCATGAGTGGGTGGAGTTGAAAGATACAGATTTGGAAATTATCTATGGATGGGTGAGAATTAAAATTGTGGGATGGAAAAATTACAGGCGGAGTGTACAACGATGCAAGGCAACTTTAGTATATGATCATGTTTCAGGAATGGAAGTAGAAAAAGTATCCAAAGAATGAGAATGTAAAGGAGTGGTCAGAGGAATAGGAGAAAACCAGGAAAATGCCTTTGTAAAAACTAAGAAAGAGGAGAATTTAAAGGAGGGGTGCTCCAAAGTGCCAATACTTATAAAGAAGTCAGAGAATGAGATCTAAAAAAATGGATATAAAAAATTAGGTCAGTAGCCATAGCAGGATCAAGGTGTCTTATATTTTTAGTTGTTTTTCAATCTTAGAATTTAATTTCTGGGTACCAGAAAGCCAAGGAAAGTTTCTAAGGAAAGAAATAATAGAATTAGAGTTACATCACCTTGGAATATGACAAATCTCAAACCCTTTCAGCAAAGAGATGGCAGCTAGTGGAAAGAAAGAGGAGGAGTACGTGATAAAGACAGGATTAATGGAACAACATCCTGGAGAAGGGAGCAAGGATGGTTCGGAGGAAATCATTGCTTCCCCTATATAGCTCACCCTCCAATAAATTTGCTTATTTCCATGAAGTGAATGTAACAATTAAATGAAATATTTTGCCATTGGCTTCCTTCTGCATTTCCACAAGTATTTTTCCCTCCTTCCCTCCCTTGCTTCCTTGCCTCCTTCCTTCCTTCTTTCTTGCTTTCTTCTCTTTTTCTTTTATTTCAAAATATTAAGGAGGTACAAATGTTTTTGTTACGTGGATAGCTTTTATAATGTTTTAGTCAAGGCTGTAAGTGTGCCCATCATCCAAATAGTGTTCATTGTACCTGTTAGGTAGGATTTTACCCCTCCCTTTCTCTCCCCTCCCCCTCTCCCTTCTTGATTTCCAATGATTTTTACTTCTGTCTGTGCTCATGTGTGCCCATCAATTAGTTCCAAATTATTAAATAGAAGATGTGGTGTTTGTTTTTCCATTCTTGAGATACTTCACTTAGGATAATGGTCTCCAGTTCCATCCAAATTGCTGTAAAAGACATTAATTCATTTCTTTTTATGGCTGAGTATTATTCCATGATATATATATATACCACATTTTGTTAATCCACTCGTGAATTGATGGGCACTTGAGTTGATTCCATATCTTTGCAATTGTAAATTGTGCTGCAATAAACATTTGAATATAGGTGTCTTTTTGATAAAATGACTTCTTTTCTTTTTAGTAGATACCCAGTAGTGAGATTGTTGGATTGAATGGTAGGTCTACATTTAGTTCTTTGAGAAATCTCCATACTGGTTTCCATAGAGGTTGTACTAATTTGCAGTCCCACCAACAGTATATAAGCATTCCTTTCTCTCTGTGCCCATGCTAGCATCTGTTGTTTTTGGACTTTTTAATAAAAGCCATTCTGACAGGGGTAAGATGATATCTCACTGTGGTTTTAATTTGCATTTCCCTGATCATTAGTGATGTTGAACATTTTTTCATGTTTGTTGGCCATTTGTTTATCTTCTTTTGAAAAGCTTCTGTTCATGTCTTTTGCCCACTTTTTAATGGAGTTGTTTTTTTCTTCCTGATTTGTTTGAGTTCTTTGTAGATTCTGGATATTAGTCCTTTATCGAATGTATAGTTTGCAAATATTTTGTCCCATTATGTAGATTATCTATTTGCTCTATTGATTATTTCCTTTGCTGTGCAGAAGCTTTTTAATTTAATCAAGTCCCATGCTGGTCACCTGGCTGCTCCAGCAGAGCAGAGCACACCCTGAAGCAGGAAATGGAGGGACAAAAAACCTGCTTAAGCACTCTGTGGGCAACTCAGAACCTGCACACTTCTCTCTGGCATGGTCAGGGATTGACCTAGGGGGACTTGAGGAGAGGCCCACAGGCCAGATTCTATACTACCAGAACTCAACTGTGTTGTTTGGGGGGTATGGAAGGGTGATTTGTGAACTAATCTCGAGAGGTGAGGGAGCCCTCATACACAGAACTGAGAGGAGATTGTAGTGTGGATCAGAGCTGGAGTGCACTCTCAGAGCACCCTTCCCCCCACAGGAAAGCCACATGGGTCCTGGGCCAGGGATCCTGGACAAGGAAATTCCCAGCCCACAGAGCCATTGCTGGTGAGCTCAGCTAGTTTGAGCTCCTTTCTGTGGCCAGATGGTTGAAGGAGACCTCAGGGCAGGGCAGGGGAGAGAAGAGTGAAACCCACTCCTGACAACCAAACTGTGAATCTATCCATAGGTATTTTATTTGTGCAGAAACCATTGCCATTTGGCAATGGTCTTGACTGCTTCAAACAACTAAGGTGTCAAGCAATGGCAGGAAAGCTGCTGCAGTTTTAAACAGAGAATGCAGTGGGAAGTTAAGCTAATGGTGTAGATTGGTAAGAATGTGTTAAAAGGCCAAGAGGCATTTTTGGTCCCTGAATATTTCCTAATTAAAGTGACAAAGAAACACTGCCATTTATTAATAGAGAAACGTATTTTTAAAGTTTGAAAGGAAATTGCTATGGGTTTTCCACCTTTTATTGCAGATAAAGCAATTCCAAATGGGAATATTTGTGGCTAAGATCTTTCTAGAATGGGGACCAAGCTCATAGGCTAAGTAAAGAGACTTCAATATATGACTTGAAACCTATGCCAACACTTACTGGTTTTATGAGATGTGTTTTAGCTTCTTGCTTCTTCATTCCCACATGTATGAGATGGTGAGAGTTATGCTGATTGTACAACAGTTATACAGAATTAAATTCATTTGATATACCTGCCCACAGTGAAGATTCAACCAAAGTAATTTCTTAAGTGCTTTCTACCTTTCTCAAAAAGGTTGAAAAAAATAGCAGTTTCTAATATTTGGGATGAGTTTGTACCATGGAGCTAATTTCTATTAATACTTTTAGGGCTTTCAAAGGTTTTAGTGAAACTCATTGGATGTTTTCTTTTAGACTTTAACATAACATGTTGCTGTGTTTCTACTTTTCTTCCAGTTAAAGATTTAGAAAAAAGAAAGGATCCAAAGCCCAGAGGCAAGGTTGTGGACAAAGGAAATGGGAGTAAAGCATCTTCACCAGAAGGTCAGAGATTCTTTTGATTGGCTCATTTGGGGAGTTGGGTTAATTACTCAGGCAATACACACATGGCTGCTGGTCCCATTGGAAGAGCACAGATCTAATAGGAAGATTGCCTTTGGCCCCTCTCACTCCTCCTTACTTCCCCACACATGGTGACTGTCAACACATGTGACCTTTCAGTCACCTTCCTATGAATATACAAACATGTATGTACAGCCTGTCATATTATGTTTTGTGTTCTGTGCATTGCTTTTTCACTTGGAGACCTTTCCATGTCAGTACAGGTAGGAGGCAGGAGGTGGGATCACCCAGTGGTAAATTACACGGGCTCTCCCATTCGCCTGCCTGAATTCAAAGCCTGCCTTTACCACTTTTAAGCTTGAGTGATTTTATACTAGTTATCCAAATTTCTATGTCTTTATGTCCTCATCTGTAAAATGTGGATAATAGGATTTACTTCATAGAGTTATTTGGAATAAATTGTGTTGATGTACATAAAATACTTAGAATGCTGCCTACCTTTTTTTTTTTTTTTTTTAAGACAGCGTCTTGTTCTGTCCCCTGAGCTAGCATTCAGTGGCATGATCATAGCTCACTGCAACCTTAAATTCCTGGCTCAAGTGATCCTCCTGTATCAGCCTCCCGAGTAGTTGGGACTATAGGCACATGCCACCATACCTGGCTAGTTTTTAAAAAAAATTTTTGTAGAGATGGAGTCTCGCTATGTTGCTCAGGCTGGTCTCTACTTGGCATCAATTGATCCTCCCGCATTGGCCTCCCAAAGTGCTAGGATTACAGGAATGAGCCACTACACCCTGCCCTCTACATATCATTGAATAATGTTAGATATTATTATTAGTCTACCTAATTCCTTTTAATGGCTGGATAGTATATCTATATTATTATAGATATTATAGTATAATTTATATTTATTGATTATTCCCCTATTGATTATAATTTGTTCATCATTATAATTTATTGATGATTCTTCTATTGATGGACATTTAAGTGTTTTCTAATTTTCACTAAGACAAACATGCTGCGATAAGCATATTTCTAACTGTGGAATGGCGGGGTCAAAACATATGCAAATTTTAGACTGCCAGATTCATAGATGGCAGGCTCTATCAATACTGACTTACATTTTTTTCAATAATTTATACTTCTGCCAACAATGTACAACAGGAATTATTTCATATATGCTTTTCAACATTTGAAATCCTCAATATTTAAAAATTTTCCCAATGTCTCATTAATTTAATTTACATTTTTTTATTACTAAAAGTTGAACATTTTACATTTGTACTTTTTCCTGTGCACTTTTGTATTGTCTTGTTTTCTTTAATGAATGTATAGAAAATTTCTCAATATTTTGGATATGATACCTTTTTCTATTATATTATTATATTTTTGCAAATATTTTCTTCTGGTGTGTCATTTGCCTTACAACCTTATTCGTCTTTTTGAGAATCTTTAATGTAATAAAAAAATTCATAAGAAATGTGCTAATGTGATTTTTATGCTTCTTGGCTTTGTAATTTTTGTATAATATGAGCCATTTGCCTATTTTTCTTCTAATAATGTACAGTTTTATACTTATATTTGTTATAATTTATTATTAAATGTGTCAGAGATAGAAAATGTGTAAAAATAATATGATAAGCGTGTTTGTCCAGTTTAAGAAAATAACATATTACTATACAGTTGAAACTCACTGGTTATCTGTATAGATTCCCTTTCCCCTCTTGGAGGAGGCTACAACTACCCTCAATTCAGTGTTTATCATTTCTATGTGTGTCTTTGCCATTTTACCAAATATATATGCATCCTTAAACCATATTTAATTATACATTCAGTTTATGTAACTTCTATATACATTTTGTCATAGTGGATGTATACTTTTGCAATTCCCTTTTTTAAAAAAATCTAATATGAGGCTTTTTTTGGTCATATTGATTTACATAGAGCCCATTTATTCATTTTCTTTGTTGTATAGAATAGAATTCCATTGGATAAATATACCCCAATGTATTTAACCCTTCTACTCTTGATGTTACCAATATTTTGCTATTATTAATTTGTTGTAAATATCCTTGTTCATGTCTCCTTCTGTGCATGTGGCAGAATTATTCTAGAGTATATGCCTTGAAATTGTTTATACAGTGGCAGTGTATGCATATTTTCATAGTTCCTCTCTATGGTATCTTTATTTTATGTTTTTATGTCTAATATTCACTTCCTTCTTTATTATAGTTTCTTTCTTCCAACTTCCTGAATTCGATGTTTATCTCAATAATTTTAATCTTTTTTCTTTTCTATTATATGAATTCCTTAAAGGTATGAATATCCAAGTGCTGCTTGAATAGCATCACATAGATTTTGAGATGTAGTAACGTTATGATGTAGCTCATGCTATTTTCTAATTTCCATTAGATTTTCTTCTTTGGTACATGAGTTACTTAGAAATATGTTATTAATTTCTAAACATCTGGAGGTTTCAAAAGGCTATTTATTTGTTATTGATGCCTAACTGTTGCATTGTGGTAAGAGAACATGGTGGGTAGGAATAGTCTTGGAAATTTGTTGAGATATTTTATTATTTAAATGTGGTAAATTTTCAAAACCATACCATGTGTTCTTGAGAAAAATGTGTGTTTTAATCTCCCTCACTGATAGTTGTCCATTTCTATTTATAACTCTGGCAATTTTGCTTTACGAAATAAGAGTTGTTATATTTTCCTAGTGAATTTTTCTTTTTGTTATTTTGTAATGACCTCTTTTATTGTTAGTGATTCAATATTTGCCTCAAAGACTGTTTTGTCTACTATTAATATAGCTACACAACCTTTATTTTGTTTAGTACTAACATAATACATTGGTTGTTTACTCTAACTTTCACTCTATTTGTGTCCTCAGATTCAAGGTGAGTAATCTTGAAAAGAAGATTTAGTTGCATTCAAATCATTCGATCTCTTTATTTTATTTCATAACTTTAGTTCACTTAAATTTATTCAAGATACTGATAATTTTGGACTTACCATTTATTCTGTGCTTTCTATTATCCTACATTTTTCCTATCCTTTTTTTCCTTTTACACCTTACTTAGAATTGATCAAATTTCCTTTTTTTAAAATCCATTTTACCCCTCTACTGCCCTAGAAAGTATTCATTCCTTCTGCATTGTTTTGTGTGGTTATAATTAAAATTTTAACATGCATATAAAACTTAACAAAGCCCAAGACTAATCAATATCTTTACCATTTCCCAACAATACAAAATTTTATAATTCTTTAAATTCAATTACTAATCTTCCATCTTATACACAATTCTTGACAAATACATTAACCTTTTTTTTTTTTTTTTACCTCAGGAAGGTCTTATATTTATTGTAGTGATTTTTTAAACAATTAATGTTTGTCCAGATTTGCCTATAAAGTTTCTTTGTTCACCATTCCATCTTGTATCTCAGACTTTCTCTATATGCTCCTTTTCCTTACAGAGTATCTGTGGTGGTAAACTTGTTTTCATTAATGCAAAAATATCTTCACCCCACCATCACTATTGAAAGATTAGTTGGATTCCAGATTGGGAGTAGTTGTCCCCAATCATTTCAAAGATATTTCATTATCTTCTGGCTCCTGTTGTTTTATTGACAAGCCTGTTTTCAATCTAAGTATCATTCCTTTTTAAGTAACTCTTTTCTCTCTCAATGTGTTTCCGGCTTGCTGTCTTTCATCTTTGGTATTCTCTTGCACTATATAATTAGTCTAGTTGTAGATTTCTTTGTGCTTCCAGAATCAACATTTATATCTTTGACCAGTATCCGAAAAGTCTCAGCCTTTCATGCTTCAAATATTCTTTCTCTCAACTACTTATATTCTCTCTCTCTCAATTAAGTTTATGATGGTCTCTTTTGATGATTTATGTTTTTTAATACTCATTTTCTACCTCTCTGATTTTATAAATGACATTTTAGGTTCTATTTCTCTTTCAGGACCTGGAAGACTAATTATTATTTTTTCTTTTTTCTAATATACTCTTTAGGCCTGTTCTTTTCAATGAGGAAATATTTTATTTCTAGAAATTATGTTTGCTTTTTTATCAAGTCTGCAAAACTTGATACTACTCTGTTACACTTTAATTTTTCAGTATTCTGATATTTGAATGTTATATTTTATATTCTGAACCCAACAATTCTATTATCTAAAGTATTTTGGGGTTAAATTCTTCTGTTTCTTTTTTATACTGACTTTCACTCACAGTGCTGTTTCTTTGTATGATGTGTCACTTTGCTTTGTGAACTCATGTGGGAATTCTTTACAGCATGGTTTAAGAGCACCATCCAGAAAGGTGCCCTTTGGTTGCTGCCAACCTAGAAGCATTTTATGTTAATTTTTTGGTGTGGGACATTCAAGGCTTGTCCATGGTTACAAATTTACAGGAGAAACAATTTTCCCCCACATAGAGCTTAGGCCAATCCAAACACTTTCCTTCACTGTCATTTCCTTTACTGGAAAACAATTATTTTTCTAGTCTAACATTTCACTAAAGCTATGGCCCTTTGAGGGTGCCTCCTTTACAATGAAAAGTATTGATTCCAACTTCCCACTTTGAAGGGGTCTAAGGTCTTGTCTCCCATTTCAGCATGACTGTTTAAGCTTAACTTTTTGATTTATAAACTCCTGGTTAAGGTGAAGTCTTCCAGATATATATTTCCCCTTGCAATAAGTAGGTAACTTAGGAGGAGATATTTTGAGGCTATGTAAATATTCTGTTTCTCATTAAAATTTCACCCATTTGTTTTAGCATCCATTGATGATTTTTGTGTGAGTCAGTTACTATTAGATGTTTCTCAAATGATAATTTTTCTATGTCCATTGTTCATTCTACATTTATTAGTTGGCATTGTACTGTAAAGAAGATTTTTTTCCTTCTTCCACTTTTATTTTTCTATTTATATCAGTATGGACTAAAGGATTCTTATTTTATTTGATGGATTGTAA